TTTAGGGGTGTAGTACATGTACGAGGGCTGTTCAATAAATAATGTACTCAGTGCTCGGAAAGAAACAAAAAAGTCTTTTTAATGATCTAGTCTTAATGATTTTACTTGAATATTCTTTTTTAATTAAAACAAACATATCTTAAACATTTTTATACAATTTTTGATTGCTTTTAGAACACTTTTTAAAGTATATGACCCTTTGTATACTGGAATAAAGCAGATTTCCTGGACTTGTTTCTTCATTCCGAAAGGTGTTTTTCTAAGTTCGAAAGTGAAACAAGTCAAAGGGTCAATAATCTGGCGAATATAGGTGTGTTGGTTTGGACGTTGTCATGAATAAATTTAATGTGGTTGATTCCTAATTCTGGTTCCTTCCTCTTATAAACATTTCAATTTTTTTCCCATTTTTGCTTTCTAGACTCCTCCAGTGGTTGACCTGCCTCCCCAAATAAGAATTTGAACGACAAGACCAGTATTATTTTAAGAAAATGGCATACAAAACTGTTTACGTGCTCTTGAAATTCTTTGCTCTTCTCAAACCTGGGTTGTTTTTGTCACGTGTGTCTTCTTGTAAATTTGTTTTGAGGGTTTAAAGCAATGAAGTCAAGTTTCAATATCTGTTTGAATTTTTGAAAAACATGGATAATAACAATTTCAGATTTTTAAAAAAAATAATTGGTTAGATATTCTTACATGCGGCCCTTTTCACTCATTTTTCAAAATATTAGGTGACCTTTCAGTACTAATCTTTGCTACTCTTAATTCTTTACAACACTTGTTTATTTACAACAATTTAACTTATCCCAAAAATGATGTCTTTTAATTTTCCTTTGTGTATTAAACGCAGTCCAACATCAACAGATCAGTTATATTTGTTGAATTTTGGCGTACAGGGCATTGAATGTTGTAAGTCTTTGTCTGCAAAGACGGTATCCATTTTTTGATGCCCATTAAATCAATTTTGCCGATTGAAATCCTCCTGCTTATGTGTCAATGAAACAAACATTTGTTGCTGTAAAGGTTAATGTGAGATAACTGCTATCTGGGTCCCTTTTATTATCTGTGGTTTATTAATATTTTTCTCTGCTACATGCTTCATCACGCTTAAACTATGCCCATTATGGTGTCACGTTGTCTTAGTTACGTAATACATCGACCGGGTAATGATTTACCGTTATAACTATTTACTTATATGATTTGATATAACCTTATATTTCTTTTTTTCATATCGATTATACTATGTTGATATGATTGAATATCTTTCTTTGATCGATATCTTAAAATTGGTATTAATTTTAATCTCAATAAAATTTAATATAACAATAAAATCAATTAGGGATGACGTTTAAGCAAGTTTTATCTCAATATCAATTTTTAAAATTCATATTTTATTATTTAAAGAAAATATACAGGAGCAAAAGTCCATGTATGGTAATGCAGAGGAAATTCGGACTAAATTTTCAATTTTTTCATTTTTGTCAAAATTGTTATTACTTGCAAAATTATATAATATATATAATAAGTTCATAAATTATTTCAAATAATTGAATGCCATGAAACTAAGAAATTCAAAAATATATGAAAAAAAATATTCCAGGCAACAAATCTTAATAATTTGATCATTGACCTCATATGATATTGATACCATGAGAATAAGGATAACAAAAGTAATCAGAGGCTGTAAATGATTTAGGGTGAGTTCACCATGCATCGGACACATACCTTGCTTCGGACAACTTTAGGTAATAAACTCTCTTTCAACTTTAGGATGACGTTTGCTCAGGTTTCAGAAATCAGAGAGGCAATTTTATAAAGTATAATATATTAAATCAAAAATTGTTCTAAATGGACAAAATAACTAAGTTTTATCTCAATATCAATTTAAAAACTTAATAGGTAAGTACTGAAAGAAAATATGCAGAAACAAAACTCAATATATGGCTATGCAGAGGAAATCGGACTAAATTTTTAATTTTTCATTTATGTCAATTTTTTTTATTTCTTGCAATATAAATCACAAAGTAAAGGTTACGTATATTTTAAAACATCATTTTGAAAATTTTATATGTGTTTAAGCTCATAAATTATTTCAAGTTAATGAATGCTATGAAATAAAGAAATTTAAAAACATGTACAAAAACCACTGAAGTCAACATATCTCTATAATTTGATCATTGACCCCATATATTATTAATACCATGAGAATGAGGGTAACAAAAGTTATCTGAGGCTATAAATAATTTAGAGTTCTTATCAGTCAGATTTTTGCAATATTTGATTAAAAATAGGGAAAAATATAAATATGACAGAGGAAATTCGGACTATAATAAATTATCATGCTTATGGCCCAAACTCTACTTATTTCTTAATATGGAGCAACTATGTACAATTGCTATAATATTTCATTATTTAAAGAGTTTTGTTGCTTGTAAAATTTTGTGAGTGAAGAAAAAAATGGTCATAGTGTGAAAAATTGAGGTATTTCCCTAGAAATACTCAGGGGCCCCTAGCATGAAAACGATGTCATTGACCTAGTTATTTGAAATGGAAATTTATCACAAGAATCATAGGTGTACAATGTGCAATAGGTGGTTTTTTCGTTCTTATCAGTGGAATTTTTAGTCATCTGAGTAAAAGTATACCTTAAGAGTTTTGTGTATTTCTTTGTTTCTGTCTTAAAAATGAAGATTAAAATTTTTTAATGATACCAATTATGCTTATCATGTTGTGATAAAAATGCCCCTAAAATGGATTTGAAGTTACGTCATATTTTACATCATCAAAGAGGAATAACCCGAAATTTATGATTTTGCAATTTTTAGAGTTATCGTTCTTTTAAATTCGACTTCCACGGAACGTTTAGTAAGTAAGTAAAGTAATTTTGCATAAATTATACAGAAATTTCACTTCAATGTTTGTATAATTCTTATTAGAGCTGGTGTTTACTATTATGCTAATTTCACCGTACATCGGACACAAATTAACCATGCATCGGACACTTTTCGATGCAAAGGTAAGCACTACCATTTTCATACAGAACCCAGCTGACAGCTGTTTTTTGCGGGAAAAGAAAAGAAACTCTATATTTTCAGTCAAAATATAAGTTATCGATATATGACGTCTGGAATTTGACTCAATTTATTTCTACAAACCAGAGTATGATAAACCATGAGAAAAAGGCGCGAATTACCACATTATAAGCATTATAAGCAGAGTGAGGTCTCGCGAATCGTTCTACATTCGTGCAATAATATCGTCAATTAAATTTAAGTTGAGGGTTATTTCTTAGATAAAAGATGAAAATATATCCATATCAAGGATTTTAAAGCACTGCGATAAAGGTATGATATTTTTCCGGTCTAAATACCGTCTGTCCGATGCATGGTAAACAATGTGCGATCCATGGTGAATTCTCAATTATTCCTAAAAACTCGATTTTGGGGGATATTGTCTCAATAAAAGACATATGATTGTGTCCTAAATTGCTATTTTAATCACAAACTAAATGTTAAGCTCAATTTTGATAATTTTCCGTCGGTAGCGATATCGCTAGAACTTGTTGAAGAACAAGGGTGTACGATGCATGGTGAATTCACCCTAGAGTTCTTATCATTCAGATGTTTTAATATTTGGGGAAAATATAAATATGACAGAGGGAATTCGGACCATAATAATTATCACGTTGATGGCCCAAACTCTAATCATTTCTTTATTTAACGCAAAGTAGTTCCGTTGCTATAATATGTCATTATTTAAAGAGTTCTGTTGCTTGTAATATCTTTTGATTGAAGAAAAAATTGGTTATAGTGTAAAAAAAAAAGAGGTATTTCCCGAGAAATATTCAGAGGTCTCTTGCATGAAAAGTAGGTTATTGACCCAGTAATTTGAAATTGAAATTCAAAACAAGAATCATAGGTGTACAATGTGCAATAGGTGGTTTTTCGTTCTGAACAGTGGAATTTTTAGTCATCTGAGTAAACTTATACCTTAAATAAAGAAGGTGCCATAAATTATGTAAAAATAACATTAAGCTACAATCAATGTATGTTTTTGATAAGGGGTTATATCATATTTTATATTCATAAAAGAATAAATTTCATATTTAAACAATATTCAAGTTATAGCAAAACAGGTATAGAGATCTTTCGCTTCCGTAATAATTGCGTAAGATTATTTGTTTTGAACTAAAATGAAGTTGTGTAGCATATTTCAAATTCAAATTTACATTTTTAATGGTATATAATTCAAAGGAAATTTTAAAAAGAAGACATATTTGTTTAAAAGCAAAATATATATAAATAGGGGACCAAGAAGACATCCGTATACACGTTTAGTACGAACACGGATATAGCGAATTCACGGATATAACGAAGTGTTTCTGGGTCCCCGGCAAAATTCTTAACAAATCTTTGTAAAATTTTACGCTTATAATGAACTCTGATATAACGAATTTACGGATATAGCGAACTGATTTTGAGTCCCGTTGAGGTTGAATATAATGAATTTTACATCTTTTATAACGAACTTTCAAAGATTTCAAAATTTGAATAATTGAACTGACTTTATTTTCTCTCAGCATTTGTATATAAAATTCAATTCATAATAAAACCTTAGTTATCGAAGGTATGTTTTGTAATATTTGCTTCCCTAACATATTTGATAGTAACACTTGAAGGAAAACATGCACATTGCAAATTTGCTATATATGGTTATACGAATTCGTTATACGGATATAACGAATTACGGATATAGCGAATTAAATTCACAGGTCCCCAGGACTTCGCTATAACCGTGTTTTACTGTATGTGCAGATATAAAGTGTTTTATGATCCTCATTTATATCGTACATTTACAATTTAAATAATTATAGCAAAATATTGATTTACAGAATCTTCTTCCTGACTGAGGAAATAAGCAAGGAAGTTAGATTCAAAACAGTAAAGGTGATAGGCCAAAGGAAAAAGAAAAATTAAAGAAATTCATGTAATGAGCGAAAAATAATGACAAGAGGTCAAAAGCAGAAATCTGTCCGGGTGCCAGGTGTTTCAAAGGGTAGTCACATCACCCAGGTTACGTTTAAAAAAGTCTGGGTCAGTGATACATATAACAATCTTGTCCTTGCAAGCACATTAGGTGAAGACCTACATCATCTGACAGATGTAGCTAGTGGTGGATCTGGTGTTCACACTTTAAATAGTGATGGAGAGTTATTTTACATAGACAAATCATATAACATAAACAAATTGTCTGAAGATAGCGATGCCAAAAGTACATTTATTAAGTACACACCACCATGGAACCCTCAATGTGTGTACAGTTCTTTCTCCACTGGAGACCTCCTGGTTGGAATGTATAATTGTGAAACAGATGAATGTACAGCCAAGTTGACCCGGTATAACTCCAAAGGAGAAAACATCCAAACAATAGAGCATAAAAACAAAGGTCAAAGAATGTATTACGGACCTATCTATATCACAGAGAACCGCAATGGAGATATTATTGTGTCTGATGATCACTGTGTTGCAGTGGTTGTGACAGATCAAAGAGGAAAATATCGCTTCTCTTACACTGGACCCCCATCAGGAGTGGGACTTTTACCACGTGGAATATGTACGGACGCGTTTTCACACATCCTGGTGTGTGATATTTACACACACACAATACATATGATAGACAAGAATGGCCTGTTCTTAAAATTTTTACTTACCCCAAACCATGGCATAGATGGACCACACGGCCTCAGTTATGATGCAGCATTTAACTCTCTCTGGGTTGGATCCGATTGGAAAAACACCGTGGACGTATACAGATGTGTTGACTCTCTTAATGGTAGGCAAAACATTAATTCAAAGAACATTAATGTTCATATATATATATATACATATATATATATATATATATATATATATATATATATATATATATATATATATATATATATATATATATATATATATATATATATATATATATATATATATATATATATATATAGCATATGGGACACAGACAAGATTACAAGGTCATTGACCTTAGTGTCAAATGAAATGGCTTAATTAGTAGAGTATGCATGCCAAATATTAAGTCTTTATCTTTCTTCATTTAAAAGTTTTGGTGAAGGTTAAAGTTTGCCGATAAAAAACTATATTTAGCGTAAAGGTCACAGTCAAGATCACAAGGTCATTGGCCATGGTGCCATTCAGAAGAAATTAATCAGTGATGTAAGCATACTAAATATGAAGTCTCTATCTTTTTTTATTAAAAAGTTATGGCGAAGATTAAAATTTGCAGAAAGAAACTATTTCAAGCATACAGGTCACAGACAAGGTCATTGACCTTGGTGTCATTTGAAAGAGATTAAATAGTGGAGTATGCATACTTAATATGAAGTGTCTTACCTTCATGGTTCAGAAGTTATGGCAAAGGTTAAAATTTGCAGACGAACAATTATACAGACAGACAGAGTCATACAGGACAAAAACAATATATGCGTCGTATCTTTCGATCCAGGCGCATAAAAATTAATGAAATTGAAAGGATGGCCGTTAAACTTATAATGTATAAGGTTACTACTGTACATGTAGATCACCTAAATCTGCGCGACACCTAATTTTTCGACGTATTCGTTAACTCGTTAGCGAGACAAAATTTTCACGAATTGTGGTCATTGCTCTATATAATCTTAAGGAATTCTATGATACACAAGAATGAAAATTTCGCGAGCATTTCTTTTCGCGTTATTACGCGAAAATAAAGTTTTCGCGAATGAATAGCGATTTACAGTATTTTCTTGGATTTTTATAATTAAATGCTATTTAAACAAAGTCGACGAGGAAATCTTATGCTAATTAAGCAAAAAATAAAGTATAATTATGTCAAAAAATAATTTCAAATGACTACGAATGTTTTTACGGCATGTTTAATAGCTTTAGGAGCGGTTCTTATTGCCAGGCTATCTGGAATTATAATCCTACAGTGACATATGTTACATTGATGGTACAACTGGAAATGAACATTGGCAGACCTTCTTAGCATAATGAATGTTGCCTACATTATCTGTCCCCTTCATAAGATTTTTTAATATAAATTGTTCAACAAATGAAAAACAACAGAATTCTAATATTTCAAGACTGATAGCTACTCACAAGTTCAATTGCAACATGCAAAGTCGTACTTTGTCAACTTTTTAGATCGTTATAATAAGCAGCGAATTTTCAAATTAATGTTTTTAAGCTTTGTTTGGGGATGTTTCTACAGTACAGATATTTCAGGGGATTTTAAAGTTCGATAGTTCATGTCTGTAAAAATAAATGCAATTCAACTGAGAGAATTAATTGGGGAATTATAGAATATCTTACATTTTGTAAATGCAAACTTTAGTTACATACTTAATTTAATATTGTTAGCGTTTTCAGTGTTAGTGAATTAAGATTAAATAAAATATTTACATAAATTTATTTACATATTTTTGTACAGAAAGATAAATCATGACTTAATATATCCAATTCTGTAAATAGACCTTCCTGCTGAAAAAATGAAGTGTAAGAAGCATCCAGCAAGTACAGCAGAGAAAATGTGTGTAACATGTGACGTTCCTTTATGTGTGGAATGCATCATTTCTGAAGAACACAAGAGACACTCCATTAAAGAAATTCACAGTAAAAAAGGGTTTGATACGATGACAAAAATAGATTGATTTGGCATTATCTGAATGTAAAAAAAAACACATTAACTTGAAAAATTACAGTGCAGGGAAATAATTTTGTTACAGCATCAATGCTGATTTTGGTGCTTCCTATGCTTGCTGATTTTGATGCTTCCTTTGCTTGCTGATTTTGATGCTAGTTATCCTTATCCTGATCCTGGTTTGATCCTTATCCTGATGCTGGTTTGAAACTAGGTCAATGCTAGTAATGCTACCGGAAGTAGGATTATCCTGCCGGAAGTTGATAATTCAAAAACAGCATCGCTATTTTAAGCCATTAAAAATTATTTTTGGTGTAACTTTTATTTGTAATATGTATTTAATGACTTTCCTTTATCTGTTTTCACTTTTTACCGAAAAAATTAGCGATTTTTAACGAATTTCGTTTTGTCGTATTGCAATCGTAAAGAAACAAAATGGCGACATAGTGGAAGTTGGAAGTAAATCTTCATCTTGCGAAGTTATCGTAACATAGTTATTTGATATTGATTGCAGCTAAAATGCGATGATTTATCCTTTTTGTGATACGATTTCAGTAGGTGAAATAGCCCTAGTGTGTGCAACGTGTAAGCATGGAAACGTGATGGACAATAAACATGATAAAGTTTAGGCCTATGTCCAGATGAAAATTTATTGCGTGTCCTGTGAATATTTTAGCGAAAATATTATGCTTTAGCCTAAATGGAAAGTCGTAATCCAAGGAACCAATACATCATCAGTACAGTCACTACAACCACTCAGAGGGTATGTAAACAATGTTTTTGTTTTTTTTTTTTAAAATAAGATTATATAAAAATGGTAAATATTATGTGAAACAGATTTAGTGTTACAAAAATCAAAAACTCAAAATTCTGAGCGATTAAGGCATTTAAACATGGTAAACCCATGTGATTTTAAAGGTCAATTTTTACAATTGAGTAAAAAATAAATGATTTTTTTTTAAATTTAGAATCTGCAGATGCAGTATTCTGTAGTTACTCCACAAAGTATCAAGTCAAATTATACATAACCCATTGTTGCAACCACGGCCAAAATTAATGTACAACCTTCTCCCATTCTGACCGTGGTCAAATGAGAAAGAATATTTTGTAGCTCGATCATTAATATATTGTAGCTCATTTAAATACTGACCATTTGCAAATAAAGCAAAGTAAGATATTTTACTTTGATCATGATACCCAGTCGCAGTGTAAGAAACACTGTTGAATGAATGTAAATTGTTCATTTCAATTGGGATGGAAAGAAACCCATGTTCACTTACAATGTCATATGACGTCACAATAAAGATTGAGGCATCAAGATAAAGATTAGAAAATTTTTTGATCAAGCAGCCACGAGCAGGAGAGTTTCACGCTTACAACAGTGTGGTAATGTACATATATAACCTGACCGACTGATAACCAAGTCCACTCAAATCATCAGTCAAATGTACTTCACTCAAATGTAGTACATGTATTTCAACTTTTGAACCAATCTAGAAGTCAACTCTTAAACAATAGTTCTTCAGGTTACGGATTTTATATTTGCAGTCTTAGCAGTCAGGGGTGGTACTGAAATCAGTCATTTTTGAAAATGATGGATAATGGTCATTTCTTCTAAGTATATAATGTACACAATTTTCTGATTTTTGTAAATATGACGTCTTTTCATCATATTTCCATTCTCAAGTCAATTTTCCCATCCCATTTACTACAGTAATTAGATATAGTACACTATCCTGCCATAGACCCTTGTGTAGAGAAACATCTTGACAAGTAATTGAAACCAAAATAATTTAGTGCGCCCCGTAAAACTAATGAGATAATTAAGTGCGCCCAGACCTAACAATTTGATAAAAAATGATGAAAAACAGTCATTTTGAATATCAGAGATAACTCTATTTCTAAAATAAATTTCAAAATAGAAATGACTGTTTTTCATCATTTTACTAAAAAATGATGAATTTCCATCATTATTAAAAATCAATTTAATGACTGAAAATCATCATTTTTAAAAATGATGGATTTCAATCACACCCCTGACTGCTTAGTTAGGCTGTTCCCTATCAAGTACTGTCCTGTGTCTAGTTTACGAGTAGAATCTAGTCTAAGATTGTACTTAAGGCTTTAAACAGATAGATAATTTTTTCAGAAGGCAGATATGTATCTATCCTGATATTTGAGCTACAATACAATGTCAATATGTATCAAATATTTGAATTGGTCATGTTGATCAGGAAGTCTTTTTTTGTATTGAACAAGATGTGTTTGTGAAACACTGTGCGGCTGGCGGTAACAAAGTTAAAAAAAAGATGTTTTAGCATATAGGTCACAGTCTAGGTCATAAGGTCATTGATCTCAATGTCATTTGAAAAAACTTTATTAGTGGAATATGCATACCGAGTATGAAGTCTCCATCTCCTATGATTCAAAAGTTATGGTAAAAGTTCGAAAGAACTATTTTAAGCATGTAGATCACAGTCAAGGTCACAAGGTCATTGAAGTTGGTGTCTTTTGGAAGAACTTTTTAAGTTCAGTACGCATGCCAAATATCAAGTCTCTACCTCTCAGCGTTAAAAAGTTATGGCGAATGTTCAAATTGACAATAGACAGATGGATAAACAGCTGAACAGATAAACAGACAGGACATAAACAATATACGCCTCAGATCTATCGATCCGGGGTTATTAAAATTTTAAGAACAAACCATTTTTTCACAATTATTTATGAATAATTTTCATTCGATTTAAAAGAATAAGCTGTATACATGGTATATCCGCTGTAAAACAAAATTATTTTATATACTATAATAATTGGTGAGAATTATTACTGGTATACATGTATTTTTATGTAAAAATTTTGATTTTGATATATGCATGTTTATCGTATATAATTTAATTAACACAAAAAATAAGTATAAACAAAAAAATGCCTTATTCTTTTTGGGATATCAGTCAGGGGCATAACTTAAACAAGTTATTTTCAAAAATAACTCAAATGAGTTATTTTTTTGTCTAAATGAGTTACTTCTCTTTGCTATGACCTACTTTTTCCCAACCTTGATAACTCAAACACGTTATTTTTCCAAAATAGCTTCAATAAATAAATAACTTATTTAAGTTATTTTGTGTCATTCCTCCCTAACTTCACACCCCGTGCACCAAAGGATTTTGCTCGTGCACCAAGACGAAAACAAATGTTTGACTAAATATAAACCTTGCTCAATGCAGAAAAAGTGTTCAAAGTCTTAGGAAAAGTGGGGAATTTTTTTAATTTAATGATTAAAATTGGACATATACACCATGTGGATAAAACCACAAAATAAGGAGTAAATGCTGTTTATCTCCACCTCCTCACCAATTCTCCATTGGAGTCAGTGAACTCCATCTAGTATTACATAATGGAATCCCAAAATGCAATGCAAATTGGCAGGAAACACGAAATTTCCAAGAAATCAATGTCCAAGTAGGATATAAAAATAACTTATTTAAGTTATTTTTCAAAAAAAAATTTGTGTGTGTGAAATAATGTAAAATAGCTCATTTGAGTTATTTTTGAAAATAACTTGTTTGAGTTATGCCCCTGACTGGATATTGGGATAGTTAAATATTTTTACATACATATTGATATATGTGTACTTAATCCTCACACAGAATCTTTATTATTGATTAATCATTTCAGCCTCAATGGCTCCTTTTAAATTTTACTGGAGTTAAAAGAGAAAAGATGAGTGTTTGAAACTGTGATCATTACTTTGATATTAAATAGCCAAGTTATGTTCAATTTGTAAAGTTACTTATTGTCATTGTGCCCCTATTTCATAGCATAAGTTTTAGTAGTCCGAGTGACAATTTATTTTCTTTTACCTGTAAAAAAAAAATTAATTGCTCTAAATGTGTAATATTAAATAATTTCCTCCTCAAGTTTGTATTTTGTATATTTGTGTGATGTACACATTACTCACTGTATAAAGTTAACAACTGTAGTTAAAACTGTATTACATGTATTAGCATTGCTTTTTAATATTTGGCATTTTTTGAAATTAACCTTATTAATTTTTCATATTTTTCAGGCCCATGACAGAGTAAACAAAGCAGAAATTCCTCCAGGATTAAAGTATGCTGGTCTTCTCTATGGACCTAAATCCAGCTGATGAAATTCTATCTGTTAAAATAGTGAAAATTCAAGCCAGGAACTTCTGTTAATCAGACAGTGGCATTAAAACCTGTGATGATGTGCGCCAAATCCATTGATGACATACATATATACATTTTAAAGTTATCTCCCACTTAGATCTAAAATGAAATGGACAGAATTTAAAGTTTAAAGTGGATTTCAAGTGATTTGTGTATTGTACATAATTAGATATGAGATGTATGTGAATAGAAATGCATCCTGCTCTTTTGTACAATCTTACAACTGTTCATGATGATTGTCCATATATAAATTGATTTTATAGAATAAATGAAAACATATATTTTACAATATAGTGTGATGTTTGTTTTAAGTATAATGTACTAATTGAGAGATACATGTTTATATGATATTCTGTCCAAGTTGTATTTTTAGTATATACATTTAAAAAAAAATATTGCCCCTGATATTTTATTTTTGAGGACACCAACATTCCATGTAAATAGGCAATATTTCTGTTACATGTAGTGTTCTTATTGAAGCTGAATGATGCATATATAATTCTTAATTGCATTTTCATGAATACTCTAAAAATAGATTTTTTACATCACTTGAAAAAGAATATCAAACACTTATTGATGACTGGTAAAATTTTCACTGATGTGCCAAGATTAATGAATTGTAATGACAAAAATAGTAATACCGGTGTGTCCTGATTCATTTAATTCTTAATATTTTGAATTAAAATAAAAACATTTCTTTAGTTGGATTTAATTCATTTAAAACTTTAATTGGAAAATTCCATATTTATAAATCTGCAATAAGAAACTGAATGTGGGGGTAACACATTGTTATGTAGGGTATTTTAGACTGAAGTAA